TTCTCCTACCTAGTGCGACCATTCATACATTTCATTGCAGCAATATTTAATTACCAGTGTTTAATTACCATGGGCTTCCCAGCCCCCATTCAGAATATAAGGTTATATATACACATACACATGTCCTGTATACAGACAAATGAACAAGCACACACTTTCTGAATTCTGAAACAAATCTGAGCTCAAGGATATTGGTTAGGGATTGTGGGACTTGTGCCATACGAGGGGTAACTATCTTTTAAAACTGTTTTAGTTTAAAAACTGTTCAGTTTAGTTTAGTTTAACAAACTTCAAATATGAAAATTCATATTTGAAAAATAGAAACAAGGAGTGATTACTCACTGTCCAACATATAGGCATTTTCTTACTCCCTCTGTTTTCAGAAAGGGAGCCCCAACTGTCTTATCTTACCTCCTACTCCACCCTATCCTGTCTGATCTCCAGGGAATGAACCTCCAGGCTTCTCTAGGAGGTGAGCAATTGCCTGACTCTGGATGTTTGTTTCTTAAACAGAATTCCAACTTACCTTCCTGTTTAGAGCCTTGCCTCCAACCCCAAATCTTCTAGTTCCTGAAATTTTAGGGGTTATGCAGGGTAAATTGTGTTGACTCACGGCTTTCTATAATTCAGGGTTTTTTGTTTAGTTGTTTGTTTTTGCCAAATTAACACGTGGCCTTTGCTCTGCAGTTTTCAGAATTTTGTTGCTGTAATCTTCTCTCTTTTTTCTTATAGTTTATACTTAAATATAATAACAAAACAACCTCCCCAACATTTTAGTGGGGTTTCAAGGAGAGAGTGGCAATTAAATATTTGTGTTCTATCTGCCATCTTTATTGGGAATTAAGGACTTTATTTAAAATAGCTTTATTTTTTCCCTTATGCTCATTTCGTACAGCTTTAGTTCATCTTTCTACCAGATGGTGGGTCTGTTCCAGATGGAGACCAGGGTCTTTGGGGTTTGCTTGAACTCCTCGAGAGTCTTGCTCTCTCTGTAGGCTTCTAGAGCCCTTGTGAAACTGGACTTGCTTTTGGCCTTGGGTGGGATGATTTCAGGGAAGACAACTGGTATTAGTGTGGAGGCATAAACATTGGCAGAGGGGACTCAGGTATCTGGCAAAGCCTTGCTTTCTTAGGGGCCTTCACTGGCAATATTTATATGGATTTCTAACGAATACATTAGAATCCACACTGCCGTACCTTACCCAAGGGTAATATTATAAATATTTAACAATGACTATGTCATGAATAGTGACCAGTTCTGAAACACCTTTCTGCTGTACTGATGCAAACCAGCTGACCATTTATCCAGGCTTGTGCCAGGTTCCAGAATGTCCCCAGCTTTCTCCAGCCCCTGTCTTTATTAACTTGCCCTAATTTCCAGAATGGAATTTTAGAAAAATGGACTGAGCCTACCTTCTCTTGCTCCCAGGCTTTAAAACTCACAGTCTTTAAGTACTCTTGTGCACAGTGGCAAATATGTGCTGTGGGAAAGAAGATACGGTCCTCACCTTGGGGAAGGAGTATGGCACTAATAAGAATAGGGCTGGATTGTGGGAGGCAGAGGCAGTGGAGTACAGTGAGCAAAATCAGGCTTATCCAGAGGACTTCTGCAAGGCAGACCACTCCCAGGCCACCAGAGCCCTGTGCATTTCACCTGTCAATTCAGCCAAGTAGACATAAATATGCCGCATCACTTCTCTTCCCTTGTCCCCCTTTCCCTAACGTCTTCTAGCTTCCTGCAGCCTCCATCTGGCTTCTAGGGGAAGGATGAGGGAAGAGCCAGGAGGGAACAGTGTTGGTAGAGAGGAGGACAAGGTCCTGTCTCTGACTGGGCAGATTGGGCAGAAAGTGGCAGCAGGTGCAAGTGGAGCTGCTGGGCAATCAGGGGTCTACACACATGCACAGCTAGACTTCCTTCCGGTCCTTTCCATTTATACCACTTACATTTGACAAGAGGAATATGGATGTGGATAAGTCTAGTTTATGTTGTTGAGGAAAAAAATTCGGAAAAATTTTGGCAGGGGAAGAAAAGACATAGGATTGGAAAGCGTTGGGAAAACTGTGCCTACATGTTTTCACTGGTTGTACACGTTCAAGGGTCTTTGGTTAGACTACTTCGAAAAGCCATCTTGGTCTCAGACTTTCTGCCATCGTGGCTTCTCTGGGGTAGAAACCTGGGGCTGATTTATAATTAGGCCTTCCAAATCCTGGGTTATTTGGAGCTGTAGGTTTGAGGGTTAAGTTCCTGGTTTTCACTAGTTCTTCTTAGGTACCTCATTTTTTCATGTCTTTTAAACAGTAATTATTACAGAAACATTTGAATGTTTCATTTGCCGAAAATGATTTATAATTTTGTTTCCATCTGTCATGGTAATGGTTTCAAGTGCAGCAAAGTAAGATTGTGCTGGTCATCCTATAAGTGAGAAATGGAACAGAACCCTAGAGTTGAAAAGTTGGTTGGATGAAATGAGGGCACTAAGGCATGTTTTCACAGGGATCCTCAGACTCAGGCTAGCCCAGATCCCTGGAGGCTGCCACCTAGAGAGAACCAGCAAACACGTGATTGCAGCTCCTAGCAAGCTGGATCTCAGATCCGTCAATACGTTTACTGTTTGCTCCTTCGCTGACATTACCATGATCTTGGTTTTCTCTTAATATTTAGTAAATCCCAAGATCACACTTATCTATTGAGAAAGTAGTTCCGGTCCACATATAATTATTGAGCACCTCCTGAATGTCAGGCTGTGTTGTTAGATCTTGGGGGGACAAGGGTGATACTGTTTCTACTTACAGTCTAGTGGGGAGAAGCACATACACAGATAACGTTAAACAGTGTTGTTTAGAGGAATAAATCAGAAAAACCAGCTAGAGCTTGTTGACTAGTTAAATGTGGGGATTGAAAAAAAGGAAAAGTGTCCAGGTTCACTTCCAGTTACTGCTGTCCATTTTCTCCTCCTTGAAGCTCTTCTTCCCTGGGCCTTCATACATCTCTAGTTCTGTCTGCTTTGCTGATCATTCTCCCATACTCTCCTTTGGCAGATCCACTTCAAAGGCACAGTACTTACATGCTGGTGTCCCCAGGGCCCCCTCTTCAGCTGTCTGCACTATTTGTCTATCTTTTTCTCATAGGGCAAAGCTTTCCAAAGCTCTGTCTCTAGCTCAGACCTTTCTTCTGAGCAACACACTCTTATTCCTCAGCCTCTACTCAGTCATTCCATCTGCCAGACACTGCAGACTCCATATACTACAACCTCTATACCCCAAAGCTGTGTGTCTTCCTGTGCCCTATCCCACATCACCTGGGACCCCCTCTGTAGAAGAAAATAGAAGTGGATGCGAGGTCTCATGCAGTACTAATAGAAATACACTAGCTACGTGTCTAATTTAAACTTTTCTAGTATCTGCATTAAAAAAGCGAAAAGAAACAAGTGATATTAATTTTAATTATATATTAACCCAACATACCAACATATTATTTCAACACATAATCAGTATAAAAATTACTGAGATATTTTACTTTTTTTTTTTCATACGGAACCTTCAAAATTCAGTGTGCATTTTAATCACAATTTGCACTAGCCACATTTCAAGTGCTCAATAGCCCTATGTAGCTAGTGGCTCCTGTATTGTACGGTGCAAGTCTAAAATGAAAAAGGTAGTATTTGAGGCTGGGCAAAAACTCTCTTATTAGAAGTATGATAGAATATAGAAATAGAGGATACCTACATTTAAGCATCACTATTTTTATGAGTCCTGTGTGTGTTCTCTGTTCCTTATGGTTTTCCCCTAATATTTAGAGAAGCTTTTGAAATTCTAGTTTTCTCAGCAGTGCCAAGATCCTTCCTCTGATTCTGGGAAAGGAATTCCAAGGGTGAGCAGCTCATCTCCCCACCGCCACCACTCCAGGGGAATCCCAAGGGGAATGTGTGATTCTCAGCACAGAGCCCCTCCCTACTTAGGTCCTTCTTTCAAAAGTTTATTATGAAATCTCTGGATTTTGTTTCAGAAGGAAATTGCTTTCTTCACAATTCCTTTTCAAAATGTTCATACCTTAGCTGCCAGAAACAAAATGCATTTGCTTTACTGTAATTATTACAGCCAAAGCCACCATATATTGTGGATTTTTCCAACATGGTACTTTCAATATTGTCTCTTTCAGTCCATGCATCTTGAATTTTGGTTCAAAAAATAGGATCAGTCTATCACACTCTCGAGTGTGAAATACTGGGGAGTGCCATGGTGATCAAGCAACTGGCACACACCAGTTCCTGGAGCTTAGAACTTAATTCTGGATACTTAGCTATAAATGATTTCCAGAGACTGCTCCTTTCCCTGGGGAGCTAAAATCCTTCCAGAGAGGCTGCGTCTTCTCAGGTGGCAGCCAAGCAAGTACCTGGGCAGTGCAGGTCTTCTCATGAGACCTAGTTTATGGTACTGTCCATACATCAATTTGAGTTTTAAGGGGTGCTTTTTCTGATGAGATTTAAAGTTATGTAGAAGCAACAAAGCTTTCTAAGAATATTTTTGGCAGGCTAAAGAAGGATCAAAAAAAAAAAAAAGAAGAAGAAGAAGAAGAAATGACACAGGCCGTGGGACAGCGGTATGAGCCGCTGGGACACTAGCCAGATATTGGTTCTCCCAAACTGGGGAAGACAATGGACTTTACTGTTACTCTTCAAAATGCTGTTCACGTTCTTTTATCGTTCACTAAAATTATTTCCTTTTCAAGGTCTAGGCCAGTCGGGGGTGGGGGGGTGGGTGGAGGACGGTTGTTGCAGAGGGCCTGACTTCCATGGCGGGCGGCCGGGGGAAGTATCTGTGTTTCAACCCGCAGGCCCTTTCCCCTCAGGGCGAAGCACCGAGAGGCAAGGGAGGGGGTCGGCGAGTGGGCTGGGGGTCAGGGGGTAGGGAGCATCACCCAGGGTCTCCTGGCTGCCAGTCTCCCAGAGTCCCCAGCTTTCCAGGTAGGGACGCCCCCTCCCACGCAGCGCGGCTCGCTCGGGTGGGAAGGAGGGGCTGGGCTCCGAGCGCCCGCCCCTCCATCTATCACATGGCCGGAGAGCCACAAAAACAACAGCTTTGGCCAAGACGGTGACTTCAGGAAAGGGAACCCAGGGCTCTCGCAGCCAGCCCCCACCCCATGGAGGAGAGTTTTCTTGAATCCTTTGGGAGGCTGAGCCTCCAGCAGCAGCAGCAGAAACCTCGGCCGCCGGCCCCGCCACCCCCGCGTGGGACACCTCCGCGCCGCCACAGCTTTAGGAAACACCTCTACCTCCTGCGAGGCCTCCCGGGCTCGGGGAAAACTACACTGGCCAGGTAATGACAACGGCCTGGGCGCCGGCGCGCGGACCCCGAGCGAGCGAGCCCCTGCCCTGGGCCGCTCCGCCCCGCGCCCCCCGCGCCCCCGTCGCCGCGCCCGCCTGGGTCCTGGCCCCGGCCCCGGCCCGAGCCTGGCTGCGGGGAAGCCCGTGCTGTCCCCGGTGCCCGCTCAGCCGCGGGCGGAGAGAGGGCGGCCCGTCCTGTTTGTTTCTATGCTGCGCTTTCCCGGGAGGACTGATTTCGGCACTGCGCCTTGCGCAAGCCCCAGATGGCACGGGCCCCTGCCCGGCCGCCGTGCCAGGCCCCGGGCCAGCCCGTCCGAGGGAGCCTTGGCCGCCCCCGGCCTCCCCAGCCCGGGGTCGGGATGCCCGCAGGGATTCTTCTTCAGGAACCCCGGTGACAACTGCAGAGAAAACCGCGGGGCCGCCCGCCAGCGCGCAGGCACCCGCCACAGTGCGTCAACAGGCGTTTTAAACCAGAGCGGAGAAACGAGCGGGCCAGGGGGGCGGGGGGCTAGAGGCAGCCGTGGCCTTGGCGGTGGCCGGGGTGGGGGCGGCGTGCGGCCCGCGTTGAAAATCTAGCGGATTGAGGCAGCCCTGCGTTTGCTTTGGCAGCTGCGAAGGCGCACAGGTGCACGGGGGAGGGGGCTGGCGCGGCGGTCATTGAGAGAGCCTCGCACTGGGCGCCCAAATTCGTTTACTCGCGAATTGCGTAAGCTGCTCTCCTGGTACAGGTCAGCGCGAATTACGCGCGCTTGTTGCCTGTTGCCTCCTTGCTGGGCCCACCGCTTCAGCCTCAATTCTCACCACTCCCCGGCTTGCACTTGATGCTACGGCAACGTTGAACTGTTTCTCTCCTTGCTTGTGCTGACGCTGGCCCGCCTGCCTGGCTTTGCCTTCCGCCTACCTTTGCCCGACTGATCCCACTAGCCCTTTAAGACTCGGATCTGTTCCCTTACCCAGCAGCTGCCCTCCTCCCCAGCAGTAGACGCACGTTTTCTGCGCTCCTTGGCTTCCTGTTTACACCTCTGTGACCGCGCTTGGTTTTACACATGGTTTGGTTTATCCTTCTTCAAGTTTCTTGAAGCTAGGGCCGGTAGAAGTAGCCTCTTGCCCTCAAAGAGCTTTCCATCTCATTAGAGAAGTAAGACTAGTCGTAGAACCATGGAGCTGCTGCAGAGTCAGGGTTAGCTGGCGTTGAGGAGCTGATGGGGGGGGTGGTAATACAAAGATGGTGGGAGCAGGGTCTGAGTCCATTGGGGTCAGCGAACTGTGACAGCTCTGGTGATGTGCTGCCAGTTTTAATTCGGATTCCTGGCTTATTTGTGGAGTGAAAGCCTTTAGGAAACAGTATTGCTATATTTTCGCAGATTAAAGGGATGGTGACTTCCAAAGGGTCATAGGTAACCTTTCCTAGGACGCAGGGATTTCAGTAGGCCTTCTCTCTGGTTGGGGGGTGGAGGGCGGAGAGTGGGGGAGCCTGCTCAGAACCCAGCAGAACTCGGATATTTTGTGATAACAGTCATGGTGGGTACATATGTTGCAAATGAAGTATCTTCTGAGTTCAAGTCCTGTTTAGTTTCACTTTGATTTTGCTGATCTGTGGCCTGTGGCACACTGTCAAAGAAGGAAGTAAAATCTTTGGCCAGATTTTGTTTTTAACTACTCAGAAGAGAAGTGATAGGTTGAGTGGAAGGGAAGTGCATAGAACTGAACATTAAAAGCCATGGGATTTGGATCTTAGATTCCTCATCTGTGAAGTGAATGGGTTGCCTGGGGTGGTCTTCAAGGTCCCTTCTGGCTCTAACATTCTACACTTTTAGGATTTTAATTCCTGGTTGACATTTGGCTAACCAGAAGACTCCGGATGAGAGACCAGCTTATTAAAGAACATCTCTCTAGGGACGACTGGCGTGAGCACTGGCCTGGGAGTCTGAAGATTGGGCCTTTAGATCCTCTTCATCATGAAAGCTGGTGAATTTCGGCAATCACCTAGCTTCTCTGGGACTTCTTTTCCTTACATGTGACTACTAAGAAGGGATTAGATTAGGTGATTTATTGAAGATCCTTCTGGCTCTTAATTTCTAGTTGTCAGTCTGAAGAATGGTTAGTTAACAATGGCTAGGCAACGAGCTCTGACCTTGGAGTCAATTTATGGCTTCAAATCCAAGCTCTGCCATTCACTATCTATGACCTTTACTCAGCTCCTCTGCACCTTGGTTTCCTTTTCTGATATACAGGGATATCTGCTTTGTCCATTTCAGAAGACTCGCAGATGTTAAAATGTGAGAGAACTTGCTACACTTTAAAGTGCTGTATACATCTTATAAGGTGTTAGTTGCCGCTTCAGATGTTGATCAGCTGAGATAAATCTTCAAGGTGTTACCGGGGAGAAACCTGGCTCTGAAATGCAGCAGGAGGCTGGAAGTTGACTTTGTTGTTCTCCGGTTCTCCGGTTCGGAGTTCTGGAGGCAGAGGATCATTGGCCCTGCTGTGGGAGGGGAGAGGGGTGACTTTTGCTTTTGTGTAGCAATCTGGGAAGTAAGAAGGCAAACAGGCCACAGCTCAGCAAGGAGGAAGCCTTCGGTGAGGATGAAATGGTGTGGCGGACCTCAAGGACCTGCCTTCCCCTCCTTTCTGGTGGGTCCAGTGAGGGAGAGAAGGAGAACGGCAAATTGTTTAAAAAATGTGCATGTGGAGAAAGTAGTGAAACTGTAAGGCTATCTCTTGTATTGTTGGATTCTGGGAAATTCGTATTTTCTTTATTCTCTGTATTTTCCAAATTTTCTAATATGTAATTTTTTAAATCAGAAAAATAAAAACAAGTTTTTAAAAATTGGAGAAGATCGTTTTTACAAATGTGGGTTCCTCTTTTTTCCCTGCTTTTCTCATCTGATTAAAGAAATAATAAAAGTGTTGTTGAAATTAGGATATGTCTTGTCTTCCAAATCAATGTTAGATTTCTGTGCTTGTCATCTATATATTTATATAGTTTGAAGGGGCTGAGATGTTGAAACCATCTATTTAAATTCTTCGGACATTTAAAAAACAGTTTGGTTAAAAAAAATTTTGAGTACGACAGAGTACTGGAAACTTAGCATGCACCTAAATCTGTTTTATCACCTCTAATTCATAAAAATTTTTTTTTTCAAAAATAGTTTCTTATCAATGACCTGTAAGTCCTACTTCCAGGAATTCATCCTAAGGCAATAGTTGGACAAGTGCATGAAGATGGAGATTTGTTCATCACAGAGCTTTTTTATATGCTAGAAAAAATAGGAGCCAATGGAAACATACAAAAATAGAGGATTAGCTTATAAGTCATGCAGTCATTAATGGGAACATAGGTGTATTTGACATGCAAATATATTCATCCCCCCCCATTAAGTTAAAAATCCTATTAGCGAAGCTATCTATCTCTCTATCTATACAAAAATTCCATTTTCTATTCAAAGAAAGGGGGGTGTCTACATATAATCATAGACAATGTGTGAAAAGATATGTTACTAGTTGTTGACTTCAGATAGTGGGATTATAGATTTTCCTCCCTGCCTTATTTTCTTATTTTTCTATAACAAAAATGTATTTATTAATTTTTAACTTTTTAAAGTTGAAAATAGGGGTTCCTGAGTGGCTCAGTTGGTTAAGCATCCATCTTTAGCTCAGGTCATGATTCCAGAGTTCTGGGTTCAAGCCCCACATCGAGCCCTACATTGGGCTTTCTGCTCAGCGGGGAGTCTGCTTTTCCCTCTAGTTCTCTCCCTGCTCATGCTCTCTCTCTCTCTTAAGTAAATAAATAAAATCTTCAAAAAAAAAAAAAGGTTGAAAATAGTTTTGGAAAATAACTTGGCTAAATAGACTCAGGTTGTGTGACCAAACATTTATTAAATAACAAAATAAATGTGTCATTTTCTATATAAAAAGTGTTTTTCCTAGGTTTATTCTCAGTTGGACATATATTAGGAAATTTTTTAATACACAAGATTGATTTTAATTATTTTATTATTAAATATATTAATTATTTATTAATTAGCATACACGCTTGCATGGACCTCTTGATTCTTCGACACCTCAGTTCTTTTTCATTAAAATGGAGCTAACATTTCACTAATAAGTTTGTTGTGGGGTTTTAGGAGACTGGTAAACAATGATTCCATAACTGTATGTGTGAAATCACTGTGGAATGCTTGGGCTCCATAAATACCAACTATTGTTAATTATTATTCGCTAATCAACAATAATAGTATTTGCTGGGTACTTAAAAGACCATTAATAATTGCTTGGCAAATAAGATTAAGGGAGCCTACAAAAGACTAGCAAATGGGAAACAATAATCCATACACTGCTGTGGGTAAGTAAGCTATAATGGGGAAGAGCATTTTATATGCTATTGGTGTTCAAGGCCAGGGAAGTCACTTAGGATGATTAGGGAGATAGGAAAACTATGGATGAGAGATAGTCTCTTCCGTGTGAAAATGGTTCCTGAGCTGACCTTGAAGACAGGGAGGATGTGGCTGAGCAAAGGAAAGAGTTAGCAACATGAATAGGGAGATGGAGATGGGAGACAGCTGGATGGTCTCCTCAGCTAGTGAAGAGAATGGCTTAACTGAAGTGAATGGTTCGAAGTAGTGAATGTGTTGGTTAGGTAAACTCAGAGCCAGATCATGGGGAACACCAAAACCTGTACAAAGAAGTACCGAGTTGATCGAAGAAGTAGGATTCCAATCCCAAGACTTTCACTCTCAGCAGATGATCCAGAAGTACCTGTTTCTACAGCTAAACTGACAAACTCACCTGGATCTGGATCTGTCCTTCCTTCTTACATCAGTGAAAGCTTCTGTGGACCATCTGTTTACCTCTGTGCTTTGCAGTGTGTGTGTGTGTCTGTGAAAATGTCCCTTTTTGGGGCCACTTTAACCATTTTTTAAGTATACAATTCAGTGGCATTAATTAAATGATGTGCAGCCATCAGCAGAATCTAGTTCAAGAAACTCTACC